CTTCCCTGCCCTTCAGTGCATTCAAACCTCACTGGAGCCCCTCACAACCCTTGGGCCACCTCACTCCTCTTAGTCCCAACACTTTTCACACCTCATTTTACCCCCATAGACCCCCACTACCCTCCTCAGCCCCAAACCATCTACCCCTTAAACCACTCCATCCCCATAATGCCCCAGCTCCTCTTCACCCCACAGCCCTGTACCCCATAAGCCCCCTCCTCCCAAAAGCCCCTTGGTGCCCATGATCCTCCCCATTCAGTCCCTCATGGCCCCTGAGAGCCCCTTCCCCTCAACATCCCTCCCAAGCAGTCCCCCCCACCCCACCCCCGCACCATAGGGTTGATAACACCTATGAAGTGAAGAGCTTGGCAGAAATCAAGTAAATAATAATGAGCCATGAAGTCAATTGATTCTCTTCCATGTGGCAGGCCAGTAGGGGGAGCTCCTGCATTGAGCCTCCCACCTCATTATGTCCGTCCACCTTCCAGACTCCACGTATCTCTCCAGGGGCGCCTAAGCCCTGGCAGACCCCCTTCTGAGCCCAACTGCTGCCACCACCCTGAGAAGGGACTGTCTGGGTCCTGTGTCCCTGGGGAAACACAGGCCTAATAGTCCTATGCGTACTCAACCCAATACAAGAACTTGGGGCACTTCCCCAAGTTGGGGGTCAAAAAGGATAGTCTCCCTTAGTCCACAGACCCAAGGGGCCTCCTGGGCATAATTAAACCCACCCCGCAATAAGTCTCCCACACTAGGTACAAAGGAGAACTTTATTGGTTAGAGAGGGTAGGGTTAGAATAGGGTACAGGGTAGAGCAATATCAGAGAAATCCCATAAAGCAAACTCCTGTAGCTGGGGTAGCCTTTGATCTCCCATCTGAGTTACTGCAAGCTATATACCTAGTTGGATCTCAGTTAGCTTACTCACAAGTATCATCCAGAGGCAGTTGGAGAATCCCTCTGGAGGCGGGCAGTTCCTTGATCATGAGTTTTGAGAGATAGAGCAAGTTTCAGATGGTACAGCTCTTCTTTGTTCCTGAGTATCCCTCATGGCTGCTGCCCCCTCCTCCTGGCAGTCCTTAACTTATATAGCCCTTGTGACCTCATTTACCTGGTCCAATGGAGGTCAGCACCTGTTGGCTGTCAGCCAACCAATTTGAAATACATCACTAGTTGCCGGGCAGACTCTAGCCCACCAGGAAGGAAGCCCCTCACTCAGGTATGTGATACTAGTCATGTAGGCAGAGAGAGCAGGTTTCCCCCCTCCCTCAGGAATGTATCCAGCTCAGGTTACCTGAAGAGATAGGGTAAGGATGTGTCTCTCTGCTGGGCCCATCCTTAACAAATTGTCACAGAGTAGAGACTTTGGGGAGAGACAAAGGTGGCTTTCTGCCACAGGTAACACCTATGGAGTGAAGAACTTGGCAGAAATCGAGTAGATAATAATGTGCCATGAAGTCAATTGATTCTCTTTATTCCACCTGAAAAGAAATGCAGCTGTGCTTGCCTGGCAGTTTGTTTTAAACTCTGAGTGGAGCAGAAATCAGAGATGGGGGTGAGACAGCACCTCCAACTCCCCCCTAGATCTGCCCTTGTGCCTTTTTTAGGGCTTCGCTGACTCCCATATGCTGAAAGCTGCTGGCATCCCAGGGGCAACATCCCACCAACTAGGGGCTGGCCTGCTCTAAGAATCATTCTCGGTGGATGCTCCTAGTGAAATCCCCCTGGGATTCACTGCACCAGCCTTCTGACACACTCAGAGAGGGCTGTAACCAGGGACAGACTCTGTGGGAAACCCACAGAGCATTAACCCTCAAACCTCACCATAGCTCACTCCTGGGTAGACATATATTATAGCAAACAATGATTACAATTAAGGTGGCCTGACACTCCCTGTTAGAAGACTTCTCGGTTTCTTATAAAGCTGTCAGACTAAAGCTGGGTTTAGATCTCCTGTGGCAGATTTCTGCCATGGGCTGCATTTCTTTGGAAAGTTTTGGTTGAAACAGTTCAGCATTTTCTCAGAAGATTGGGGGGAAATAAATTGTTTGGCCAATGCAAAAGTATGTTTCTAGTTGTTTAAATAATAAGCAGTAGAGCAGACAGGTGAAATACGGTGGCGATGTCAGCTAGGAGTCCGTGAGGTGTCCCTTGCACCGCTGGGAAATTCAACCTAAGTGTGGCTGAATTACAGATCTTGAAAAATCACAGTCCATTCATGCTTGCAGGGGGGGTTTCAGCTGTCCTGTGATCCTGCATCCCTACTCCCTCTCCTCTTGCTGTGACTTTTCTCCTAAGCTTCTCCAGCTAAGCCCTGGGTTATTCAAGGTAGCTACACCTAGTGGTGTGAGGGTAGCTAGACTGTAATTCCAATCCGGACAGCACAACACAGCACAAGGGCACAGTGTCTGAGCATGTGCACAAAAAAGCAACTTGGAGTGAGTTAACAAGAAGTGGCAACTCGTTTCAGGGTGAAGTTCACTGTAACTGTTTATGTCCTCTCTCTTTTCCCCAGGTAAGTGAAAGCTAACAAAGTAAAAAAGACTGTGCCACTGCAGCTAGTAGTGTTGCTGTGACTGATGCTTTTCCTTCTCTCTTGTTCCAGAATGCAGCTTTGAAAGTTTGCACG